GCCATACTGTGTCAATTAGTTCTTCTCTGCTCACCCATGCCCAAGGAGTTTGTTTCATTTAACATATATTTGAGATGTATCATCTGCCAGACCCAATGCTTATAATTGGGGATGCAAGACAATTTGTAAGAATTGATCATACCCTTCACTGAGCTTAATAGAAAATTGAAAGATAAAACTTTACATAAGTCAGAAATTATGATAGAGGATGAATATGGAGAGATCTATGACAAAGACGACCTCACAGCTGTGGAGAGTGATGCTCAAGTTGAGACCAGAATGATAACTAGAATTTAGCCAGATGAAAGGATAGGAAGAAACCACTGGAGGCAGAGAGAATAGCACACAGGAAACTGGAGGCAAGAGAGTTCAGCAAGAACCATTATGGCTAGAACATAGACAGTCAGGAGAGGAGGGAGTGAAGACTCAGGACTGGCAGAGGTCCTTGAAGGTCACTTGAATTAGTTCTGACTTTATCTTAAGGCACAAGAAGCCAAGAAAGAATTCATACTTCTCTTGGAGGCTTTTCTCATTAGATTACAATAGTCTCACTTGGCCCACAGGAGATCATCCCAAGCCCCGCAGTGGATACCTAAACCTACACATAATATCGAGCTATGTGTGTGTGTGTGTGTGTGTGTGTATTTATATGCTATACACATATATGTATATAGCATATATGTATATAGCATATACACATATATAGCATGTATATGTATATAGCATATATATAATATATCGTGCTTTCTTCTATACATACATGACTGTGATAAAGCTTAATTTTTAAATTAGTCATAGTAATACATGAACAACAATAGCTAATAAGAAAATAGAACAGCTGGGCATGATGGCACAATCCTTTATCGCAGTGGTTTGGGAGACTAAGGGAGAAAGATCATAAATTCTCAATTCAAAGCTAGTTTCAGCAGTTTAGCAAGGCTGAAAACAATTTAAGATGACACTGTCTCAAAATAAAAAATAAAAAAGGGCTGGGGTTGTGACTCAGTGGTTAAGCACCTCTGTGTTCAATCCCTGGTACTCAAGAAAAAAACAGGTATAACAATATAATATAATAAAAGTTATATAATGTGGTCTCTCAATACATCTTACTGTACTGTATAGAGTGCCATATCATCTGCAATTGACTATGGGTAACTGAAACTGCAGAGAGTGAAATCATGGGGAGTGGGGATTACTGTGTAATCATCGTCTCTCTGATAGACTGTAAATTCCTTGAGAGAAAGCCTTTATATTTTTCATCTTTGTTCACTGAGTGTGTAGTGAATCATTGAAGGCTGAGTGAATGATACTGTTAGTATAAATGATGATCACCACTCTCCCCAGTTCCAGCTTTGAAAGAAGGCAGCCTTACTTTGCACATGTGGCTATGCTGGGGTTAAATTATTTCTGAGAGTAGGCAGGGTAAGTTTCCCAAATATTCTAGAGCTGTGTTCATAAGATATAGTCTTCACCATATCCTTGAGAGAAAAGTACAAGAAGTCAAAGTTGACCCATGGGTTATGGGGGAACTATCTGCCTGCCATGAATGCACAATGTCTTTGTTGCTTGCTCCTCGCAACAGTTTAATTTTTGGTCTAGCTAACAAATGATTGGAAGTGCTTCTTGTTTAAAGCATCTGTTCATAAAAACCATGCAGCCCTTAGGTCATTCTTTATAGGGAAATGCTGACATTTAAAGACCACAGTGAAAGGTGATGCCTTCTGTTAAGGTGGCACCCTGGCACAGTGTTTTGGTGGTAGGCTCTAAGTCATCTCTTTGTTATTATTTATGTAGATCTATTGGGGTTAGCATAAAATCATCATATTATTTGATAACTTTATTATACCCCCTTTTATTCTATTTTTAATCAATCTATAATTTCATAAAAAGAATGAAGAGTCTACAATTTCATAAAAATCATTTTTAACAGTGGTAAGCACAGTTGTGATTGGTTTTGAAAATGATATTTTATTATTAAATGAAGTGTTTTACTGATTTTTGACCCTTTTCCTTCAGATAGGTAATAGCAGATATCCATTCAGTATTTATTGCCATGGAAACCAAATCTAGGCTAACTTGGCTTTAGAAGTGTTCACTGGTCTGTGGGTTTCCTGGTGAGGCTCTTTGCTAGGTAATGCAGTCCCTTATGCTCTCGTTCCATTAACACTTGTATGTGTTTGTGTGTTTTTGTGACTCTTTCACTTGTATTGTAGTTACTTTGATCTAAATCTATTTTTAACCATACTATATGGATTAGTTCTAACCAGGGAAGGTCTTATGGTCACATTCACTGCTTGTGTTTGTGTGCATGGCTGTTGAAGAAATGATTTGGATGGAAACTGCCATTATTTCCATTCAAGGTGGTTTAGGCGTCTTTGCCTAGAATGGCTTCTGTCTTTCTTCTGCCATTTTTCCTGATCGTGCATATGTGCACATGCATTCAGAAGAATGTTTATATAAAGTTGTCCATCTCCAATAATAATTCATGTGCTTCAAGTTATATGAAGGAGTAAGTTCCCTGGTGCAGTTAACATTGCAGTAATTTTAATTTCTTCTTGATCTAATGGGACAAACACATTATAAATTGAGCTCTGCTACTGTCTTTCACTTATCCCATGAAATACTAAGATGTAAATCTACAGTGTCACAAAATTACCAAGTTAGATGTTCCTTTGAACTAGTAAGAGCTTATACTTCAGAATGGAACTAGGTCTTAGTGGAAAACACCAAAACAAAAGAAAGTGATAATCCATACTGCCTACGAGCTTTTAAAAGTGATATAATGTGACATAGAGAATTTCCAGCATGCTCCATATCAAATTAAATCTAAAATGTTCATCTTGCTCTATGAACTGACTGGGTTATTGTACATGTGGCCCACTACCAGTGACCCTCTGTTGTCTGATTATAGGATGATGGCTATTTCCATTGCAAGTTAATGGAGACCAAGGATTATATGAGGTTGTTATAATGACAGGAGCCTCATAAATAGTGTAGGGAAAAAAGAATAGTGAAGACAAGAACCTAAGATTGAACTTTCTTTCTTCTTTGTTAGCAGTTTACCTCTCTGATAGCAGTTTACCTTTCTAAAAGATGAGGAAGATGCACCTCTTTACAAGTTTCCCCTTTTGAAGTTAACTTGACTGGGACACACAGTTCCCAGATATTTGGTTAAACACCATTTATGGGTATATTTGTTATTATTTATGTAGATCTATTGGGGTTAGCATAAAATCATCATATTATTTGACAACTTTATTATACCCCTTTTCTTCTATTTTTAATCAATCTATAATTTCATAAAAAGAATGAAGAATCTACAATTTCATAAAAATTATTTTTAACAGTGGTAAGCACAGTTGTGATTGGTTTTGAAAATGATATTTTATTATTAAATGAAGTGTTTCTAGAAAATATTCTCATTTAATTTTGTAGGCTAGTAAAGCAGCATTTCCTCAATGCAGGTGGGCATCACCAAGTCTGCTGAGGACCTAGGTAGAAACAACCCCCAACACACACACACACACACACACACACAGATTGAGAGAGAGAGAGAGAAAGAGAGAGAGAGAGAGAGAGAAAGAGAGAGAGAGAGAATTTATCCTTTCTGCATGAGATGGGACATGGGACATTGGTCTTCTCTTGCTCTTGGACTGGACTAACCCCACTGGATCTCCTGATTCCCAGAACTTTGAACTCAGACTGGAACTTGGATCATTGGTTCTCTTGTTCTCAGGCCTTGGATTTGGACTAGAACTACATTAGTAGTTCTCCTGTGTCTCAAGCTTATTGACTGCAGATCATGGACTTCTAGTCTCTATAATCACATGAACCAATTGCTTATAGTTACTTTCTGTCTCTCTGTCACTCTATTTCATATCATTCATACCTCTATCTTATCTATCCTCACTTGCTCAGCTCAGAGATTCTTAGAAATACTAATTTATTCCTTTTTAAAAATTTGTTCTAATTAGTTATACATGACAATAGAATGCATTTTGACATATAATATACATCTAGATAGGGCAGAGAGGTGGGGGGGGAAGGAGGGGGCAGGGGGTTAGAAATGATGGTGGAATGTGATGAGCATCATTATCCAAAGTACATGTATGAAGACACAAATTGGTGTGAATATACTTTATATACAACCAGAGGTATGAAAAAATGTGCTCTATATGTGTAATATGAATTGTAATGCATTCTGCTGTCATATATAAAAATCAATAAAAATTATTTTAAATAGTTATACATAACAGTAGAATGCATTTTGACATATCATACATAAATGGAGTATAACTTCTCATTCTTCTGGTTGTATATGATATAGGATTATACTGGTTGTGTAATCATATACTAATTTATTCCTTTTATAAAAGAAACTTCAGGTTCATTTTAGAAAATTCAGTAAATCAAATGTATAAAGGAGAAAACAAAGGCATATGTAATTCCATTCCTGGATTGGATAACTTCCATTAGTACTTTGGCCCTTCTATAATATCTGAAATCAGTATTATTTTGCTCAGCCTGCAAAAAAATGCAGTTTTTTTTTTCTGAATATTACTTTGTCAAGGCTTTTTTAAAATGTATTTTTTTCTAACTACTTGTTTCATTGTAGAAAGGTAAAAACTAATGGTAGAACATAAAAATGATTGCTGGTAGTCTCATAATTTGATCATATGCCTATTAAAATTTTGAGGTAAAAACTTTCAGAGAAGGGCAGATTTATAAGGAATTAATTGAGTTACATAGTTCCAGGCTCCGATAGGGACCTGGGAAATTTTGTGTACATCATTTTATATATACATTTTTTCCTGAAATGGTTCCTCCACATTTTGTATAAACTTCAAATTGTATAAAACCCGGGTCTACTCCTATTTCTAGATTATTTATTCACAAGGAATTTTCATTTTGAAACAAGGAAAGGATCAGAGATCTCTTGAAATATCTTTTTATGCTATTAAGTAGTCTATAATATTATTTCTGTGGGGTATTTCTTTCATCATATTTTACCATAATGTAGATAATTTATGTAAATGACATTGTGACCAAATATGATTTTTTAAAATATTTGTATCTGATACTCATTAAAGTTATGTTGTCAATCTCTTGCTAGAATGGGCAGATTACCCAGAATGCTCTGGTCAGAAGGTCTGGAATATTCCTCTCTATGTGGCTGCTTCTGGGAGTGGAAGTAAAATACTGGGTAAATCATTTTGTTCCTTAGTATTTTCTCTTACTTATAGTAGTACTGTGAATTTGGGTGGAGCTTGGGACTACCCTTGCTTTAGTCAGGATCAACTAGATTCTCCCTAATATGTGAAATAACTAAATTAAAAATTCTGCCTGGTATGTTTATTTTAAACATTCGAAGTTAATATCATGCTCATCAAAAGTATCAAAGCAGTTTAAAACATGATTCCTGGTCACTTTAGAATGATAATGATAAATGAGTGAATGAGAATTTGTACATAGTATATGCAACACACTTAATAGGTATTCATTTATAACAGCATGAAATCCTAATGATGAAGCTAATAGTCTAACTTAAACAAACTACATGAAGATAATTTTGGAAATCTGGGAAATACCAAAAATGAAATGTGATTTCATACTCAAGAGTGCATAATTATACCCTGCACTTTTAAACTACCAATGAAAATATGAGAGGTAATAAATTTGGTTTTCAGATGGCAATTCAAACATGATAAATGTTATTACATGAAATGCCTTAATATTAATCAATGTTAAGACAAGCATTTGTATGTACATGTTTAAAAACACTATTCCTCACATAAATATTTTGATTATTTCCTGGTTTGGGAATTATGTGTATGGTGTGTGCTACTGTTTTTTTTTTTTTTTAAACCACAGGTTGTGGTGGTTAAACATGCAGGCAGGTGATTTCCTTTCAATATGGTAGTCTAAACTGATGTGGAAAGTGTGTATAGTACATTCCGAATTCCTGGAGTTGTTATAATGTGACAGTTGTAAAGCCTTTTCAGTCCAGTTTAAAAGCAAAAAAGAAATTCTGAAAAGCTAAAAACTAGAGGAAACAAAACCAGAATGTGAGAGTAGATTAAATCTACAAGACCCACAGAACTATTGAAACTAAAAGGTTAGAGTGTAATAAGTGAGGGGAGAGGATAGTTGGAGGTCAAACCAAGGGACCTGCATGCCTTGAAGTTAGCCTCCCTCCTTATGCTAGAAACTGGGAAAGACTACATTGTCTTTTAAACAGAGCCTAGAACAATTCTATCCATTTTGCCCAATGGTACCATGTGTCAAGGGTATAAAAATTTATAAACATTGGGGTCCTCTGAAATTCTGAACCAAGTAATTAATTTAAACAAATACTATTTGTTAAGTATGTTGCTGAGAACAGCCAGGTACTGGTTTAAATTCTTTACACATATTAACTCACTTAATCCTAGTAATGCCTTTCTGAGAAAAAAACTGATTTAGTGAAAAGAGGCAAACATAAAACTAACCCAAGGTTCTCCTCTGCAGCCTCCATTGCATGGGGCTCCCACAGGAAGTGACCCTTACTGAAGGTGAGCCCAGCTGAAAGCTGCAAAGTGCATGTAAAAACAATGATGAAGAAAATCAGCAGAATCAATAAATGGGAGAATGCATAATTCATTACAGGTAATAGACTATCCTGTGAAAATGATCCCATTGTCTTGGTGCTGATAGTTTAAGTGATCCACATCTCGCATCCCTAAATGGAAAGCCGGGATTAAAATGTAAACACCGAAGATCATACTCTTGATCACCAGCCTTTTGGTGGTTTTTTCCTAAATACTAAATTCCTTATGAATACCATATGAATGTGCCAAACTCTGAGTAAATAGATGTCTCTAAATACAAATTAACCACAGAGATATATTTCTGCCCACAATGGCCATCACTGAAAGTATTCATTAAAAGAAACACACACTTCAGCCCGGGGTTATTATTTTTTTTCTTGATGTAAGGCTCATCTCTCAGTCTCTTGGTTAAGTTTTCTTTTCTTTTTCTAAGTTCTAAACTTAGCCTAACTTCCTTTCCCAAAAGGCACATGCTTGCCCTCCTCCCTCCAGATATGGCCTGCTCTTTCTTTTTTTATTTCCTCCAAGACATTAGGAACTAATCTTTTATTGAGGTGTAATTGTGGATTATCTTAATTTCTCCATTGTTTATTCAATAAGTCAAATGCAGACTATGTGCTGTTCTAGGGTGCATGGAGGACCTGCTGTTAGGGTATCTATAGTCTAGCATGAATCTACAGTCTAATGTCTTCAGTGACAGAAAGAAAAATGGAACTGTTAGAGCACGAAACTGGCCAAGTGACCATCAGAAAGCTCCCATATTTTCATTTCTGTATTTTTGCCTCAAAGTGTAGACACTTTGAGAACAAAACATTTCTTTAAACTTGTTTGTCTTGTCAGAGAAGAATTGTTTTTTTTTTTTTCCTTCTATCTTTGGTAATTTGTCCCAAAGCTAGATTCCATCAGTGGTTACCTATGTTTCCCCCCTCACAGTCTATAAAGGATAAAGTTCTGCTGTCAGTCCTTTCTCAGATTAAAACTAAAGCCTCTGAAAGCATTCATGATCTCATGGTCTGAACTCGACTTCCCCACATTTTCTCCAGGCAGGATTCGTTTCCTTGGTTACTCCTGGCAAGTACCAAGTTGCTCATCCCACTTACATCCTCCTTCAATAATTCCTGTCTACACCTAGAAATTCTTTTTCTCTCTAGCTTTTGCTTTGTAAAGGCCCTGAGCAGCCTCCATGCATTGATTAGAACAATTGATAGGATGCAGGGCTTGGTCATCTCTACCACCATTTACCTCACGTTTCACTTAAACAGCATCCTTCTAGATGCTAACTATTTGGTTTAACTTGCTTTTGATCCTTCTCCAGGCAACCTCTGAGCCGGTGGCTGTCATTGTCCTTACTGCAAGGACCCGAGGCTCATATGCTTGCTTTCTGTGTGCACCAACTCCTCTTTCCTCTCTCACCTGTAACCCACTGCAAATGTTTGTTTTCTCTTTCTCTGAGAAAACATTTATCCTCAAGTTCCTACTAAAGGATGTTGGGGAGGAGAAGTGGAAGAAGAGAACATTGGAAAATGGGGCAAAGTGCTGAAAGACTCAAAATAGAGCTACCTTGGATTGTCAAGATAAAATATTTTTCCTCCCTGAAATTTCTGTTATTTCCAACTGGGGGTTTAAGAGCTTGAAATAAGAAGAAAATTAATTTTATTATTTATTTCTATACATCTGAGGAGTTGTATATAATTTTGACCCATCTTTCACTGGTTATTGAAACAGTTCAACAACATGAAATGCTTTGCTCAGTATATGGTACTCAAAGTTCAAAAAGAGTTGGTTTATTCTCATTTGTAAACTGATACGAAGCTAGCCCTGAAACTTTAAAAAGCGTTTGTGAATGAAAACTTTGAACATCATGGTTGACAGAAAAAATACTTTCTTGGAATAACCAGGGGTTCAAGAAGAGGCAAACATAGAAATAAGACTAATAGGCAATTTCTTTTTTCTCCCCTCTTGCAGTCCTGTGAATAAATGAAATACATTAGTGGGTATAGTGGAGTATGAGTGACCATTGAGCCCCTCCAAGTCACTACTGTTTCTTGGGTTTTATGGCTGGTCACATGGCTCTTCCTCACACCACATGTTCTCAGTGTTGGGCTTTGATGATGCTCACTTTTACTGCCAATTTAAAAAGTGTCTTTCCCTCAACAGGTCATCCTGGCTTTATAAAATTTCTGAAATAATCCTTTGAGGTTTGCAAGAATGGTGCTGTCACAGAGATGCCAGTGGAGACACATAGCTTTTTATAGGATTTGCTTTCAGAAACACCCTTCAGGATGAAAGATAGAAGAAGATAATGCCTCCTTGGCACATTTTACTGTTCCTGGGTGTCCTGTGGGATGTAGGATCAGCATTTGAGGTGGTTGGTGACTTATTCTAAATGCAGATAAAGTCACAAAATAAAAGCTGAACAAGATTAATGAGGTTCAGGGTTGGACAGAGTCACTGGGGAGGGAGCGGTGTTGGAGGAACATCCTTGTCACGTGTCAGCATTTCCTCCTAAGCCTTAAGGAACCCAGAGCCTCTTTATGAAACTGATAATGAAGTAGCAGCTCTTCCCAAGAGAATGTATCTAAAATGGGCCTTGCTGGTGAAATTACACAATTTATAGCTGAGGTTTTCTTTTTCTTTTCTTTTCTTTTTTTAAAAACGTTTGAATACATTAAAAACAAACTTAGGTGCACTTCTATTTTATAAAACTTGGATAAAACATGGGGTTATTTTGCATTTGAGTGTATAATTTTAGGCTTTTATCAATCTTTAGTAATCATATAAATCCCTGTCTTAAAAGATGGAATTTGATAGGATATAACTTTGGGGTCAAGTAGTAGCCTGGAGAATGTCATTTAGTTGTCACATCAGAATTTTGTTTGGATTTAAGAAATATTTTTCTGAACTTTTCTCTGGATTTAAAAATAATTTTGGTTCTAACAGATGTAATTGTTGCAATCAGGATTTGTCCAGAATTCTGGACATTGCTGCTATGGTCTCTCATATCTATGAATACTAATTTTCAAATTGGCATGGCTATTTCTTACTTGTGAATTCTAAATCTGGGGATCAAATGCAATAATATTTGTTAAAGTATTTTAAAATAAATAACATGCTGTACAAATCCAAATTGAATTACAGAAAACTGTCAATTGGTACAGTCAAAAGACTAGCTTAGTAGGAAGGTGTGGCAAAGATTATATGCAAAAGGAAGGGAATCAATATTTGTTGGTGCTAGAAGTATGCCAGGTCCTCAACCCTCATGATCTCTCATCTAATCTTAAAACAATCCCGCTGTCAATCTTAACTGTATATAAGTGCAAACTAATGCTCAGTAGGTTTGGAAACTGTGTGCACAAGATTGACTTCAAAGCCAGTGATATTCACACAAATCTACCTAGTACAGTGGAAGCTTATCAGATTGACCAATGAAGGGCCTTCCCATCACTGTTTGTGGTAGAATTTTCTTGGCAATGATTTGACAAGCTTCTAGAAGTACTATTTCTGAGTGGAAAATTCTTAGTTCTGCAAGATGCTTAATTTAGATATTTTAGTTCCATAGTTTTCTTTTTTTCCATTTAAAAATTATGAAATATACATGCATTGAAAGGAAAATACAATGTATATGAAAGATATAAAATGATAATAAAGATTTATACACCCATGTTCTGGTTTAAGATATCAAATATAACTCACACTGATTTCAGACAGTTAAGACAGAAAATTACCAGATTCTTAGGACCCTTGTTTATCCGACTTTTCTATATGGTCTTATGTGTTTTCATAGATGTGTGTGTGCGTGTGTATGTGTATGTGTGTATAAATTCCTACATGATTTTATTTATTTTTGGATGTTTTGAATATGAAGTCAATGGCATCATACATTATAAATTCTCTTACTTGCTTTCAGCTGACAATGTTTTTACATTGATCCATGTTGATACATATAGATGTAATTCATTCTTTTTTACTATTGTATAAATGACGTTGTATTATAAACTATAATTTCCTTATCCATTTTAACATGGATGAACATTTAGGCTTTTTTCTGGTCTTAGGGTATTATGAATAATGCAATGTTGTTTTTACATTGATCCATGTTGATACATATAGATGTAATTCATTCTTTTTTACTGCCGCAGTCTGGCTGGGCACAAATGCCGCAGTCTGGCTGGGCACACAATCATGAGCCACCACACAGCTTGTAGATTCAAACAGCAACTCTTTATTCCCGAACTCACACCAGCCGTCTACAATCACGTTCTGGGGAAATCCACGTTCTCTGCCCAAATCCACCTCCACTGGGCTTCTATCTCCAAAATATACTGTCTGAATCCCGTGAGAACTCAAGGGGAACTCAGGCAGCAGGATACGCCCTATTCCCAGCAGGAATAATCTTAAACCTTAAACCTGGAACCTAAACCGGGAACGCCCTAATCTGCCTTGATCCTTGAACAAGGTCACCTACATTCAATGTCACTGCAACATGGGGTACGCTGGCAAGGAAATTGTCATACCTACTTGGCTAATGGCTCCCAGCATTTTACTATTGTATAAATGATATTGTATTATAAATCATAATTTCCTTATCCATGCTAACATGGATGAACATTTAAGCTTTTTCTGGTTTTAGGATATTATGAATAATGCCATTATAAATATAATTTACATAGTTCAAAGTCATTTTTATATAGAAGAAGAATTAAAGTTTTATGGATTATAAAAATTCTCAAGTTTACTCTGTTAGAAAAATTTAAGTATACAGTACAGTACTGTGAATGATCTGTAGTGTATGTTACATCTCTAGAACTTGACTCATCTTGTATAACTGAAGCTTTGCATGCTCTGACCAACAGCTTCTCTCCCTACTCCCATTATTCCCTCACCTAGCCTTTGGCAACCACCTTTCTACTCTGCTTCTAGGAGTTTGACTATTTTAGATTCATCATGTAAGTGTTTTCATGCAGTATGTGGCCTTATTTCACTTAGCTAATGTCCTTTAGGTTTTACCAGGTTGTCAAAAATAGTGGAATTTCCTTCCTGTTTTTAAAGCTGGACAAT